CGCCCGCGCCAGGAGGTCACCTGATCCCTTTGTCTCCAACACCTTCAGTTGGCACCTTTGCAGAGGAGGGGCCCAGGCCATCAGTTGCTAGGAGACAGAGTGTCGGGCATTTATGTACCTGGCCCTTTGCTCTGCAGGAACCATACACCCTTATCCCACCACCTAGACACTTAAGAACTGCATAGGGGAAACTGAGGAAAACATTAAGAACAGTCCCACTTCGTCACAGCAACAGGGTGGCCTGCGATTGCCAGGAGTCAGAGATGAGCTAAAGGTCCCTTCTGGCCTTAAAGGCGATGGATGGAAGAGACGCCTCCTTCCCTGCCATCAGACTGCCACGCTCCACGGGAACCATGCAGCTGTCACCCAGCAGGGGGAGTCCCGTGACCCTGGGAGGCCGACGCGTCCCATGGGCTGGACCCAGCCTGTGGAACTCCCAGCCACAAGAAATGAAAATGAGCACTAACCTCACTGCATTCACACCCCTCCTCCTCGCCTGGCTTCTCCGGGGACAGCCTCTCGCTTTCACACTTGTACGGATGTCCAGACCAAAACCAAGCTTCTTACGCTCCTGGGAGGGGCCCAGATTCTACGGTGGCCATCTCCGCAGTATTTAGACAGACACAAAAATCCCAAGGAGAGAAGTGGAAGCGAAGCCCTGGCTGGAGAAGGGCCCAGTGATCAGTGACTTGGAATGAACACGCTGCAGGAGAGATGCAAACCCTGCAATACAACAGTCTAAAACCCAACACCCAGAGGAGGAATTTGCTGTAGTGAGCAAACCGGACTCTCCCCCCAGGGCAGGATGGAGTCCGTGGGGTCAGCAGCTGGGGCAGGTCTGTCTCTGAAGGAATTCAGCTCCGGGCTTCCCCTGCTGCGCCCCCCTGAATCCCAGCCCCCGTCCTCACGCTGTCTGTGTTGGTGTTTGGCTGGGACGGAGCGAGGCCAGAGCGCCCAGCTCCGTGCGTGGCGCGAAGGTCTGGGTGTGACCTGGGAACATCGCCTTCATGGCAGAGATGGGCCCGGGATGCAGCGGGGCCATGATGGGAATGTCCCGCTTTGTTTTGCAGGCAGCCGGGCCCCGCCCGAGGGGACATACTGACCATGAGCAGCACCCGCGGGCTGTGAGTTCGAGGCTCTCCCAGCAGCGCGGAGACTGTCAGCCGTGCCCGTCGCTCGTGGCCTGGGGCGGCTTTGGGGCGTTTTGTTCTCAGCAGCTCAACGCTTGGGGTTTCCGAGCTGGTACCGCAGAGAGCGCTGGGGTCACAGCCAGACGTGGACTGGTCTGAGAGCTGCTACGACACATCAGAGCCGGGGCAGAGTTAAGGGGCAGGTCTGGGGGTGTTTGATCCAGGGATACCCCAGATAGAGGCACTCTCCGGAGACACTAATTGTAACGATTCCATTGCTCTAACGCGGGAGCGCACGGGGAGACTGGGGTGAGGAACGGGGGCGCAGCAACAGGGTCTGGTGTAGAGTCTGTGGTGCAAATTTGGGGACATTTGGCCCAGGGGTTCCCAAGATGCAGCCCCCCCCCCCCGCC